TAATTACTAGCGAAAGTCAAGTAAAGATTGATCTCACATCACGATCTATGGCATTATTGTATAGCAGCGTAATCAGTACAAATGCAAGGAGAACGGGGCGGGTACAGTTTAGTTTTCGCTCTCTTCGTGACCTTAATTCGTTCCGAATGTGAATGTGAGATGATGGAGAAGAACAAAGTTATATGAATGATAAAACTGGTTCACGAGAAGCGTTTTTCTTCCATTCACTTGAAAAAAAAAAATCACTGTAGTGATGTTGAGAAAAAATGGTCAACTGGAGCCAATCCCCCACCACCACCACCACCACCATCACACAAGGCTTACTTTGCCCGAATCCACAACAAACCGTATGTTGGGGATGGTAAGCGAGGTTTCTGCCACGTTTGTTGCCACAACAATTAGACGATGACCATCTGGTGGGGGTTCAAAAACCAGCTGTTGACGTTCCGGTGTCAGTAGAGAATAGAGTGGTAATGCGTGAACTGGCATCTGGAATAGGAGGAGAAAAAAATGAGATCATAAATGTACGAATCTAGGGTTTGACGGCAAAACTGTTTAAATTGGGTAGGGAGTCAGGTGATCGGAGTGTTGGAGAGTGTTACATTGACGGGAAACGTAACCAGTCTCTTGTTTTGAAGGCACAAGCGAGAAAGCTAATACATGACACATTGAGCAATATTAGTCATCGCTGGGGAATTCAGTCAAACAATTCAAGGATTTAACTGCGTTTGGAAACATTTATGATGATCGACAAAGAGCAACGGGACAGCTGGTTCATCCTATTTGAGGACTCGAACTTTCTTTGTATCACCGTGTCAGGACTAGGGTCGGAACTTCAAACCCTTGCCCCTGATCTACACGGTCGATGGTCATCACCTTGTGCGGCACCATCCACAACTTCAGTGTGTACTATCGATACACGGACGATAATTTTATCATAAACTATTACGTTTCATCAAGACGTATGATTGGTACAAGCGCCTCTTGACTAGTCCCAACAATGATACGGAGAGGACACCACCGAAGAACAACAGAGTGTATTATTGATAGTGACGCGATACGTAAATAAGTGGTAGATTGGGCCTACAAGAAATGACGTGGTGATTTACCAACCAGTTTGCGTCTTTGACAGTCCGGTTGATAGATCGGAAGACAGCTGTCTGATTGGCCCTAATCATACGATCCGGAATCAATTCGCCTTTGGGCGTCGCGACCGCACTTGTGGTCTGATGCGAATCGATGCGTGGCCTAACGGGTTCTGTGCACTCCGTCCCAATACAAACCAAGCAACTAACGTTGAGTTTGTACTGGAGACATTCAACATAAGTCACAAATAAACAAATCTTGCATCCAGAGAGCGAGAGAACAAAGACGGAATTTCATTCCTGGATATTCAATTGATCCGAAATTCAGATGGAACGGTCCAGAGAGGAGTATACAGAAAAACAGCATGGACGAGACAATATGTGAACTTCGATAGCTCTGTGCCATGGACAGCACGGAAAATTTGCTGTCCCAACTTGTTCGTGGGAACGGTTACCCGGATAACTTCATGGACAAATATCTAACAGAGAGACCCGCGCAACCGGTAGTGCATAGAGTCAACAGGAAACCACTCTATTTGCAACTACCGTTTACAGGTGAGTGGCTGACAAGACGAATCAATCGAGCGCTGGGTCAAACGCGTACAACAGCTGAACTGCAATACGGTTCCGCCTCAAAGAAAAAACTGCCCTCGCAAGCCGCATTCGTGTGTCTTTACGCGTTCACTTGGTCCTGTGGAGCGAGCGAGCTACATCGGCCGAAAACTACGAAGAGGATGCGCGAACACCAGCTCAGCTGTTTGAGATACCATGAAACTAAGACGACGAAAAGGGTTATCTGTCAACACATACTCAGTTTATTTCAATTCTTACAACCATTACTCGTGTGCTTTCGTGCACCGGTTTTGGTTGTTGTCATTTGGTCGCCCATTTGGACAAAAGAGCAGAATGAAGATTGGAATATTCAAAGTGGAAGATGGAGGATTCATACAGAGTAGTGTTAGGAGAATAATTAGTGGATGCACTAGCGACACCCAGCCATATCACTCAGTGTCTTTAAACATCGTTGAACATGTTCTCGGAGTCCCCAGACAGGGAGCCTAACGGGACCTACGGGACCTGAACATACAACACAGCTAATGTTGATCAGGCTTCCCGCGCAATTAATTCTGTCAAAACGACTTCGGTTTATCAGTCGAGGCGTTAGNCCAAACATTGGATCCCCCCCCCCCGTGCGCAACCAAAAGCAGTTCATTCCGTCTCTAGCGTTGCCGTGACCTCGGATGAAAAAAAACCATTCCATTCCCGGGGAACGTACCAATGCACGAATCGAGATGAGCATCAGGTAAACAATCCTAACACACTTCCAAGTCCCGGGGCTTAGGTTAACGGTTTCCATGACGGGGCATCAGGTCGTCGTTGTTAGGACGGAGCTTAAGCAACCCGTACGATCGCACACGCTCACGCAACGCTCCAGACAGGCTGAACCTGTTTGGATGATCACAGAACGTGTCAACCAATGTTTGTTCAATCGATCAATCGATATATCAAGGACACAATCTGATTGGTGCGTCACTGCCCCGTTCCCGTATGCACGATTAGCTCTATATGTTTTGCGTATCGATATCGAATCAAGAAATACACGCTGACTGTGGTCTTAACCTGTGTTCTCTTTCCGCACTGTCGTTGGGGTTTAGGCCACAGTCGCGTGTCATTCGTACGCCTAGACCAAACACAACATTCGTGACTATCGAGTTAGTCCCGTGTGCATTTATCGAAAAACAATTTGCTTCATAGACTAGACTTCGGTTTCAAAAATTGAAATGAATGAAAAGGCATGCACTTATGGTATGGCTGAAATATATCAAAAGAAATGATGTTTATTTTCAAGGGGATACGGGTAATTTAAACTCCAGGATTTGCAGTGGAAAAAGTCGTTCATAGGACAACAGATCGGGAGATGTACTGGATTGCAATGTGACAGTTTTCTACCTACCGCGAAACCCCATGACCCTGCCAATAGATCGCGTTGTACAAGTGATGACTAATCAACTTACCGTCCCAGTGCTCTGACCTCGAGAGGATCGAATCTCCTGTAGGACTTCATCATCTTCGTCAACATCGTCCAGTGCCGTACTGTCAGTCTCACTGTCCGAGTCTTCAGACGCTTCCGGCTTCGTCCGTTTGGCATGTTTCGCCTCGGATTCTGTGACTCGGGGACGCGTCCGACGCAGACTGCCCAATTCCGTCTCTTCATCTGTTGGGATGATGTCAAAGCTGCGGACACGAATAACACAATGCGAGAGAGAGGTATAATTCTAGGACTATTGTAAAAAATCAGATGACTGAACAGTACCTGAACGAAACTGCAGGCGGGTGACAAAAATGAGAGATGACAGGAAAATTGTTCCACACACACACACACATCAATGAGTGACGTTTTTGGGGGGTTAAAAAGCGTTTTCTGGGCGTGCTTGTAACTCAACAACCCGCAACCACCAAAGCAAATGCGGGTTCCAGTGAGAAGTCATTCAGAGCATGGCGGTGATATCTCTTTTACAAAAACTTTCGGGTACCCACATACCAACACATTTCACTTGTGATCAGTATTTCATATAACGCGCGCACATACGAGATAAATAGTCGTTTAAGGATCACGAAAGAGAGCCGCTAAAAGCCTCAGTATGGTCGGGGTCTCGTATAGTGACTGGTCACCATTCCCTTACACCTCGCGAACTGCTCCTATAGATGACCAAGAGTCTCAAATAGCCTCTGCTGGGGAAGCACTGCGTACCCGTGGGGAGGATGTTTCGCCCACCAAAGTAAGAGGGCGAAAATCCAACATTCAACCGGGCTGGTGAATCATTGACAGTTCATCTAAGGAACTTGGTTAAAAACCATGATTCCAAAATAATTCAGAAG